GCTGTTGACTGTCTCTCTACAGCAGACTTTGTTGAGACTACTGAGGTGACCCAAGTTAAACTTGTTGCAGAAGCTGCTGTGTACTCTGTGTTTCCTACCATGGCGTCTGGTGAGGTTGGGGCTGGCAACATTTGTGAAGTTGTCTGAGGTTTGTGGCTCTCAATTGGTGAGGATGAAGTGCTTGTTTTACCTGAAGCAGAGGTCTCGTGAGCATCTCCTTCTGTAGGAGTGTGTCCACTTGGAGAGGATGAGGGAGCTGATGTGCTCAGTGGTGTGATGGTGCTGCTTTGAGATTCTCTGGTGGTCTCCTTGGTCGCAGTCTGGCTGTTGTGAGAAGATGCTAATGTTCGGCTGATACTCGAAGTGGATGTCTCCTGGGGAACACTACTAGTCTTTGTCTGTGCGCTTATTGTGAAGTTAGCAGTAGTTGTCTCTGTGGTTCTATTCGCTAAATAAAAAATACAAGAAGTGATGAGACATGACTAGTTACCTCTGTGAGATTGCAGATTTAATAACTGTAACTATTTTGCATATTTACCAGTCCATCCCTGTCCTCTAATCACTGGCTATAAGTGTTTAATTATTTAATCAAGGGTAAAATTTCCTCCAGCTCATGCCGCGCCTTCATGTATAGTACTACAATGTACGTTTTTGTGCTAAGATTTTGTCTCTGTTATCAATTGTTTTGGAGGTAATGTAATGGGAATCTGTCAAGTGCACCTCCTACTTTCCCCATGTAATGCTTAATAGCCATGATCCATGTGCTTAAGTCTCAGTACAATGTTTTAATTAAAATACACATACAGTTCATTCAATCAAAAAATCAAATTTTTGCATGCCCTATACACGTATTTCTCAAACACTGCAAAGGTGATTCATAGCCCTCCCTGTTTTTCGTAGTCTCTTTTTATTTCTTTAACCCAGTGCATATCTCTATCAGTTTATCTTTTCAACTTGTCTCCTAATCTCATCCCAAAAAACATTTCAGTTTTCAATCCCTGCAATAATCTTGTGATCTTCTTTTTCTGCCTCATTTCTCTCTACTACTCCATCTGAGAAGCCCAAGGTCCTTGCTAACCAATCTGGACTTTCTTTGAAGAGCAAGGGGAGGGAAAATGTTGTGAACTTCTATATTTGCTGGGTTTTTTTGTTTTGTTTTTTTGCTGAAGAAGAGCAGCTCTGAGCTAACATCTATTGCCAATCCTCCTCCTTCCCCCCCTCCAAAACCCAGGTAGGTAGTTGTATGTCATAGTTGCACATCCTTCTAGTTGCTGTATTGTGGGATGCGGCCCCAGCATGGCCGGGGAAGCCGTGCCTCGGTGCACGCCCGGGATCCGAACCTGGGCCGCCAGTAACGGAGCACGCACACTTAACCGCTAAGCCACAGGGCTGGCCCTCAACTTCTATATTTGAATGCTCAACATGCCTAAATACATTTATTGTTGACAGTATCTGTCAACAATTTGTACTGTGTTAAACAACCTTGTTTATTCAGTATGAAGCATTTGGGAGTGCACCCAACAATATAAAAGAATTCATTAGGACTCAAGTTTAATGTGACTCCCTCTTTTCTGGAATAATGTAGGGTTTTTTGGGGGGAGGGTATCCTGTGTTGTATTTGGATATATATTTATTTTTATTTCATTTCACTTTCCCTGAGGACTTTCCTTGTGGGCGGTCCCTCTACTTACAATTCAGAACTTTCCCTTTCTACTGCATGTTTTCTTTTTAACTGGGAGTAGAGTGAATTCTGTTGGTTTTCAAAATCATGTGGCATCTTGAGCTCAGGATAACCTCCTTTTAACAAACTTCAGCAAGCTGCTTCTAAAGGCACCAGCCACCTTACAATTGCTGGCAGGGCCACAGATAGGTGAGGTACAGAGCCCATAAGACCTGGGGCCCAAGCTACTTTTCGTATCAACAAAACCAATTTCATATTAATTTATTTTATACTCAGAAGAAAAAAAATCAATGCAATAATAATGATACTGGCCCTGATATCAGTTCCCGTACATTAAACCCAACATATATGGGGTTAAAACCAAAAACACTCATACCCTTTCCCTGCTTCTCTAAGTTACATTCATATGTAAAAATCAGTTTTTTAAACCTTTGTATCCCTGAACTTCACAAGGCAAATAGAAGTTACAAATTGTTAGAGCCCAGGTTGCCTCATGCTAACACTTTGGCTACTTACTGGTCCTTTGAAGTTTTATTACAGGGAAACTGATATCCAGAGAATATCAAGAAGCTAAAGCTTCCCAGATCCCAACTTCCCAGACCTCTGGCACCAGAATCTACCATCCACCACCGAGGCAGACAACCAAGGACACCCACCTGTGGATTCTCTTATCTCGCCATCCTCCTCCCTGCAAGCAGCCTCACAAGGCAAAGTGCAGGCTGGTGGGAAAGTGCTGACCAGGGGGCCACATGCTCCCCTCCCCTACCTAAAACCTCAAATAAAAACCTTTACCTTTTTTCCTTCGAGGAGGTGGATCTGAGTTCCAACTTACTCCCATTTCCTCATCTGGCTGCCTTCGATAAAGCTCTTTCCTGGCCATAAGCCTGGCATTCCCAGTTTTATTTTGGTCTCTCTCTCTTGTGTGGTGGGTAAAAGAACCTGCGTTTGTGGCCAGTAACAATTTGGTGAGCCAGCCAGGAGGCTCTTTGCCTGTGGCTCTGTGGCCCTGGGCTGACTGGGATTTCCTGGGAAGCAGTCCAGCAGCTGCCTAGCTGATTTGGCCTAGGGACTGTCCCCATTTTTTTCCATCTGAACTGGCATTGCTGGCCCTAGGCACATTTTCTTTCTTTCTTTCTTTCTTTTTGTGAGGAAGATTAGCCCTGAGCTAACATCCAATGCCAATCCTCCTCTTTTTGCTGAGGAAGATTGGCCCTGGGCTAACATCTGTGCCCATCTTCCTCCACTCTATATGGGACACCACCACAGCATGGCTTGACAAGTGGTGCATTGGTGCGTGCCCGGGATCCGAACCTGCAAACCCTGGGCCGCCAAAGTGGAGTGTGCACACTTAACTGCTATGCCACTGGGCTGGCCCCTAGGCACACTTTCTTGTGGCAAGGAAACAGGCTCTAGATTTGTTTGTTTGTTTGTTTTTGCTTCTGGTGAGTCAAGGTACTTTATCTGGAACAGGGTAAGTTGCTTTGGGGATGCCCGTGAACTTCCTTCCCTTCCATCTGGGGTCCTTTCCGTTCACAGAGGGGCCATCTGGGTGTGCATTCGGAGTGGGAACAATTGTAGGACTTTCTACCATAAATCTGGGAACCAGTTTACTGGTGTCTGGTTTTTCTGTGTCTGGACCTGTTTGTCTGTCCATCTCTGTGTACTGGAATGGGAAACATGCTGTCTGTCCCTAAGCAGAGCCATTGGGGCTGATTCTGAGTAGATGGTCTAATTATAGTTATAAGCCAATGTTTAAAAAGGAATGATTATCTTTTGTAACACCATATGGCCACAATATTCTTTAGTCTCCAGAGAGAAAATGGCCAAACAATGAATCCTTAAGTTGGAAAAATTTTTAGAGAGCTCTCATCATAAATGGCTGTTTTATTGGTACCTGTAAAAAATTAAATTATTCCAAAATTCCAAATTAAAAGGAAAATACATTGACTAGTCTTAAGAACTTAATCAAACTTGGGGTCTCAGCTTCTTCTCATGGTCTTACAGATGCTGCTGAAAACATTAACTTAACAAAAGAATAAAAGAAAGCTGAGGAAAAACAAAAGGACTCTTTTCAACAAGGTGGCAATTTTTAAAGGAGTTTAAAAAAATAATAATAATAAGGCAAATAAGATAGTGGGTTAAATAAGACAAATATTAAAGGTGGAAAAACAGAAAAATCAGAAGTGGAGGAGTCACAGGACTCATCTCAGCAGGATGGAAATCTTTAGCTAATTATTGAAAAGAAAAATGGGATAAATAAAACGGACGTGAATGAGGTTAAAACAAAGGTTTTAATAAAACAGTGCTAAGGTTGGGGGCCTAAAGGGATCCCCTCCTGGCCCCCCAACATTAGAAGACCTCAAACAGGTCCATTCTATTCACCGCAGTTTGAAAAAATTTAAAAAGCCAGAGGCAGAATGAGAAACCTAACCAACAATGTTTGGGGCAACAGGCTGCTCAGGTTGACGAGATTATAAAGATTAAAGTATTTAAGCTAATATTATATGAAGGGGTTATGTCAACTTTGGCTGAATTTTTTTTTGGAAATGAATGTCATGTCTGGCTGGGAATGCTTCCCCTACATAGTACTGTAATACCGAAATTTGTTAATGGAATTCTAATATAAGTTATAATTAGAAGTATAAGGGTAGATAAAATTAAGATGAAGTTTTGCAAAAATTACTATATTTAAATGGGTTTTATGTAAAGTGATTGCATCTCTTTTGTCTGATTGTATCGTAGATTATGTTGTGGGGATAAACATTATCTCTCACTGGGGAAACTTTCTCCTGTAAGAGCATATAAATCCACACTTCAGGCAATGTTAATTAAACATGCTAAAGGAGATCTCACTTTAAAATGGCCAAAATGGAGCAATTTCAGTTTACCCAAACTGGTGTATTTACATATGCCATTGGAAAAAGCCAGCTACAAAGTTAAACAACCAATGGGAAGCCTATTTTAATCTTTTGGGGCTTCTAAATGAAATCAGGAATACTTTACTTCCTCTTGAAAAGAAAATAATTAAATAATTAAACATGTCAGCAGCTGAGGCCAAATCTGCTGCTCCACTCTCCTTTCTTGCTGAGCTTCCCCACTTCAACTCCCCTGAAATTCCTGATCTAAAATTAAGCAAATGAAAATAAGTAAACTTTTGAGATAAGTGGGAATTGTAATGACCATGCTGGGGAACCTCTGTTTCAAGTCCATCTTAAGAGTCACCTTTAAAAGAGAGGATTCAAAACCTCTCATAAGGGAATGCAGTCTTTGATTAACATGCAGAAAATTCTAAAAGATAAAGTGATTTAACATGATGTAGAATGATCTTTGGTAAATGAAAGCCTGTTTAAGTTTGTTGGTTTGATTAAAATAAATATGTTTTCAGAGTAATCAACATTGGATATGATGCAGACATATTATCTCCGTTACAAAATTTGTCAGCAAAAGTAATAATTTAGAATAATAGCTGATTTTTTTGATGCCTCATGAGGTTTTGGTAGACTATCTAAATATAATTGTTGAGAACAGGTAAACCAAATAGATGTAAAAAAAATATAAAAGTTTTTGCAGAAACTTTTTAACAATAATTATGTGTTATGGTGTATGTACTTAAAACAACTTAAAATGATGGCTGACTAAAAGTCACATGAAGTTTTTGTGAATATTCTAAAAATAATTATTGAAAACAAACAATTTAGATAGATAAAATTGGGTAAGAGTTTTTGGGTGCAATAATTATGTTTTATAACACATATGGTTAAAAAAACAGCTTCTAAAATCTTTTTGGTAACTTAAAACTTTAGAAGTTTTGCTAAATTAAGTTAAATGATAAACTTTGTTGAGTATCTGGGTCATTTCCACATAA